TTTTTTGTAAGGTTTTGGGTATTTTTTTTATGAAACTGGGTTTCTTTATGAATGATCCCTGGATGTCCTAGAACTCACTTTGTGGACTAGGCAGAGCCCAAACCAAGTGCCCAGCAGTTGATCCGACTTCACTGGGGTCCCCAGAGCAGATGCCCCAAATCTCACCCAGCCTGGAGAGACAGAAGCTTTAGTGAGGGAGGAAGGGCTGTTGGGCTTTACTTCCCAGGCGGGACCCATTTCCAGAGCTCCCTGGGGTACCACAGGCAACATGCTGCACAGATTCACACATCACATTCTGCAGCCTGGCAGGCACAGCCAATAGCCCCAAGAGCAATTTTCTTGAACAAGCGAGCATAGAATGGCAAACCTCTGTTACTACACCCTTATCTCCTGCCCCCCAGGGGTCATACTATGAGCCCTCTCTAAGCAGGGTGTCCCCACCCACACTCAGTCCCTAGAGATTCCATGACAGTCTTGCATGTTCTACTGGCAAACACCCCGAGGGCCAAACTATGTCTGTTGCCAATCCCACCCCAACTTCCAGGCTTTGAGAGCTACAGGACACAACTGTCAGTTCATCCCATAAAATGTGAGGAATCCGGGCATGGCGATACAAGCTTTTATCCTGCACTTGGAGAGGAAGATGCAGATATAAGTTCCTTGCCAGCCAGAATACTACATGGTGAGACCCTTTCTAAAAACAAAAAAGATGAGGGGAGTTGGCAAAGATAGCGGCCAGGGATGCTGTGGGCTGAGGTTTGTGACCCCCAAACTCGGGTGCTAAATGAGGCCTTGGCCCTCAGTGTGGCTGTATTTGAAGGTCCCCATCCCTTCCACATAGGCCTGCTGTGGTGTGGACATGGCTTGGCAGCCTCCTACAGTCCGTGTGCTGGAAGCCCAGTCCCCAACTGAGGTCCTGGGTGTGATAAACTTTTTTTTTTTAAGATTTATTTTATTTATTATGTATAGTGTTAGGTCTGCAGGTTTGCCTGCAGGCCAGAAGAGGGCGCCAGATCTCATTATAGATGGCTATGAGTCACGGTGTAGTTGCTGGGAATTGAACTCAAGTCCTCTGAAAGAGCAGTCAGTGCTCTTAACCTCTGAACCATCTCTCCAGACTGGATGTGGAAAACTGTTGGGATTTAGGGCAAGGTGGTTAGGTCTGTAGTGTGAGGTGTGGCTGAGGCCTCATGGGAGCTGCTATGTGAGTCCAGTTTGTGCGTGCTCCTTCTGTATACGGCAGGCTCCTTCTGTATACGGCAGGCTCCTTCTGTATACGGCAGGCTCCTTCTGTATACGGCAGGCTCCTTCTGTATACGGTGGGCTCCTTTGGCTTCCCTGCCGTTGTCACACACCAGGGGGCCTTACCAGGACACTGGTGCCCTGCTCTCCGGCCTTTGGATGTGGAGTCTGGGAGGCTCTGGACTGTCTCCTCTCCAGGGCCCCTGACCTCCCACTCACAGCTGAAGCACAGCCTCCCTGCTCTTGTCTACTTGCCACCAGCCTTGGTGTCACTCTCCGCAACACAGTCCTAAAAGATATGGTAAATGTACATGATATCAGGTATCTGACTCTACCGCACCAAGTGCACACACATTACTGTGCAGACATCACTGTCTCTGCCTCCCAAGTGCTGGTCCAAATAGAGGGTTTTGGTTTTTGTTTTTTTTTCCCCCGAGACAGGGTTTCTCTGTATTGTTTTTTGGAGGCTGTCCTGGAACTCACTTTGTAGACCAGGCTGGCCTTGAACTCACAGAGATCCACCTGCCTCTGCCTCCTGAGTGCTGGCCCAGCGCCAAATGTAGTTTTTAACTAAGTCTCTATTGTCCTTTTTTACCAGTAAACTTCCTCGGGAGTTGGATTCTGGGATGAAAACCTTCTGGCTCAGAGAGGCTGAGAACAAGCAGCTCATCTTCCTTGTTAGTAGGTGACCTAGCAAGAGACTAATCCACTGTTCCAAACCAAAAAAGACCGGCAACCACACGGAGTCCCTCCCTACTACTTCCTGCAGGTTTCTCCACCCGTTTCCAGACTCCCTCTAACCCTCTAGGCCTACTCCTGTCAACTAGTTGCTGGCTCTGCCTCTTGACCCAAGATGTTATTTAACTAATGCAAACTCAGAGTTCACAGTGTGATCAAATGTCCCTGATCAGGGTCTCTCCTTCCACCATGGGTTCTAGAGTTTGAACTCAGGTAGGCAGGCTTTCATGGTGTCATCATTTTATTGCTGTGAAGATATACCAGGGCTATGGAAACTCTTATAAGAAAAACCATTTCATTGGGGCTTGCTTATAGTTAGCCCATTGTCATTATGGCAGGGAGCATGGGGGCACGCAAGCAGACATGGCACTGGAGAAGTAGCCGAGAATTCTACATCTGGAGCTGCGGGCCACAGCAAGAGCAAGACACTGGGACTGGCTTGGGCTTTTGAAACCCCAAAGCCCACCTCTAGTGACACACTTCCTTCAATAAGGCCACACCTCCTAATCCCTCTCAAGTAATGCCACTCCCTAATGACCACGCATTCAAATGTATGATTTTATGGGGGGGGCATCCCTATTCAAACCACCACTCACAGCAAACAATTAACTTTTCTTTGTTTGTTTTTTTGTTGTTTCTTGAATTTACAGAGATCCTCCTGCCTATGCTTCACAAATGCTTTGATTAAAGGCATGTGTCATCACAGCCTGGATAAAATTTTGATTTTATTTATTTATTTATTTATTTATTATGTATACAGTATTCTTCATGTATGCCTGCTGGCCAGAAGTGGGCAACAGGTCTTATTACAGATGTGAGCCACCATGTGGTCGCTGGGAATTGAACTCAGGACCTTTGGAAGGGCAGTCAGTGCTCTTAACCTCTGAGCCATCTCTCCAGCCCTTGAATTCACTTTTATTGGCTTCCCTGCCCATATGTCTGTGTGAGGGTTTTGGGTTCCATGGAACTGGATCTGCCATGTGGGTGCTGGGAATTGAAACTGGGTCCTTTGGAAAAGCAACCCGTGCTCTTAACCACTGAGCTATCTCTCCAGCTTTGGACCAACATCTTATATTTTTATATTATCAGCACTCCTTACATGCACCCCACAAACCATTTACAACCTCACTTGCAAAAGAAAATTTCTTTAGATTAAAAAAAAGCAAGTATACCAGGTAGGCAGTGGTAGTGCTTGCCTTTAATCCCAGCAGATGTAGGTGGATGTGAGTTCAAGACCAGCCTGCTCTACAGAGCGAGTTTCAGGACAGCTAGGGCTACATACAGAGAAACCCTGTCTTGAAAAAACAAAACCAAAAAGAAGTATACCGTTTCTTAGGGAAGAGATGAGTGGGGTCTCACTAGAGACCAGGTTGTGCTCTTTATTTTGGGCTGACCCTCCTGCCTCAGTCCCCTGAGTCTGGGGCATGTGTCACTAGGGTTAGTAAAGCAAAGTGTATGTCTTTGTTCCCTCTTCCCTGCTTCCTTCTGGTATGGGGGATTGAACCCAGGGTAAGTAAGTGCTCTACTATTGAGCTATATGCCCAGCTGGCAAAATGCTTTTTAAAAACCTAATATTTTAACCTAAGATGCAGATTAATAATATAACCTCCAAAGTGCCCAAGTCATACATTATCAATAATCCAAAAGCACTTAATGTCTCAAATCTAACCTAAATCTAAGTGTGTCCCAACTCTCTTTCTATTGACTTGTCCCGAGTGGCTGTCCTTAGAGGAACTCAGCCACACGGCACGCCCCGAGGAACTTCCTCCTGGAGGAAGCTGTTCACAGGGTTGTTTAATACCAAGTAAGGGGAAGTCCCTGCTCTTCAAGTCCAGGTGCGCAAGGGATGGGGGGCGTGGCTGCTCTGCTCACCACAATCTCCGGAGAAAGTCGGGCCAGATGGATAGAGACCCAGACAGCCTCGAAACTCTGGGGGTTGCTGGCCTCAAGGGGACAGAGGAAGGCAGGGGGCAGAGGGGTGGGGTGCGGCGGGAGGACAGAGAGGAGTCGGAGTCAGAGAGAAAAGAGAGGAGCGACAGGTTTTTGTGAACTGAAGACATTGCCTCATGGAGCCGGATGGTAACTGTGGAGACCACGTGCGAAAAAGACCTCAGGCTTGAGTCCTATAATAGTTACCCTACCTTGTCTTTCTGACTTAGCATCCCGGTGACTAATACATTTCTCAGAATGCATCACCAATGTCACCCAACTATAAAACTAGTGCCACCAGATAAAATTTGAAATTTATACAAGAGATCGCGCCTGCCATGTGCAGTACCAATTTGTCAGGCAACTGCATTCCCAGCCTCGGTAACTCTCCTGGCTTATAATAAACTAGTCTTTAAGGCACAGTTCCGGTGACCTTTGAGGTCATTTTTGTGTGATTTGAATAGAAATCTCAGCGGGGTTTCTCAAGAGAGTGTGTAGTGTGCTTGGGTGGGAAGGAGCAAATGGCTGACCTGGACCCTCCGGCGTGGCTCATGGTCATGGTCAGCTTAGTTAGATGCTGGAATGAAACAGAGTGGAAAGGGACTCCACCCCACTACGGCCATGGCTTGGGCCAATTCCTCAAGATTCAAGTCTAACCAGAGCCTTGCTTTGCGAGGTAGAGCGAGCTCCCCTCCTCGACACCGTGAAGGGGCAGGGCACTAGAGTGTGGTGTGGCGCCCCGGGCCCTCTCCTGACTGCGGGCTCCAAGGAGGTGCACTCCCTCAACCTGCGCGCGGCTCCCGGCCGGTCCTGGACTGGCTCTCACGCTGGCCTCCCACACGCGTAGGTCCTGGGGAGACCGAAATCAAATTCGGCGGCAACCAGCAAGTGATCCCCGTGGAGAAACAGCGCCCAGGCCGCGGGTGCTGGCCGAGCACTGAGCGCGCAGCCAGAATGGGGAGGTGGCGACAGGCGCCCCCAGACGGGCTCCTGCGTCCTCTGGGGCGCTCCTGCGCGCGAGTACGCTAAGAAGCCTCGCGCAGAGTGGGAGCAGCCCGCGCCGGGAGCGCGCGACCGCGGTGTTTCCATGACGACGACGTCCAGGACCCGGGCGGGGTCGGCCCGGACGCATGCGCGCGCTGGCGGGTCGCGGTGCGTCTTCCCGAGTCGCCCGCGCTGCTGGTCGCGGTTCCCGTGAACCGCGGTAAGGTTCCGCGGTCGGGTGGGGTCCGCGAGGCCCCGGGAAGGGTGGGACTAGGCTAAGCGCACCCGAGTTCGCGGGGCGCGCGAGTGGGGCTGGGCTGTGGGTCGCGAGCCGGGGTGGGCGGGGCCGGCATCGTCGCCCGCGGACCCGCTCGGGTGAAGCGGTGCCACTGACCGCGCTGCTCGCTGCAGGGCGGCCCCGGGCTCCCTCCTTGGCCATGGCCCCCGCGCCCAGGTCCTTGTTGTCGCCGCCGACTTTGCTGCTGCTGCTGTTGAGCCTGGCGCTGCTGGGCGCCCGCGCCGAGCCCGCCGCCGGGAGCGCTGTCCCCGCGCAGAGTAGGTGCCCGCGGAGGGGGCGTGCGGGAGGCGGCTTTGTTTTCTGCGCGGTCACTTCTTGGGTGGAAACGGGAGGGCGGGCGACAGGGACTGGGACGCCGCTGGGCGCTCGGCTGGGATCTGGCTGGGGCTCGGTGTATCCCCCCCCCTCACGTGACGCCGATCCCCGTCCCCGCAGGCCGTCCGTGTGTGGACTGCCACGCGTTTGAATTCATGCAGCGCGCCCTTCAGGACCTACGGAAAACGGCCTACAGCCTGGACGCGCGTGTGAGTACTCAAGGTCGGGGAGGCATCCCAAGACCTCACCTGAGAACGCTCCCCACGCCCGGTGCACTGTGTAACCTCCGCCAAGGCCTCAGGGCAATTTGTCCTGTGACTTGTGGTAGACAGTGTACTCCACGGACAGTGTACTCAACTAGGATTTTCCGCGAGAGATGAGCTCAGAGTGGGGAGAAGAGACTGGGGCTGGGCATAGAGGCCATGGTGTGTGAAGAGTGGGAAGCTGGCAGGAGCAGAGATCTGGGTCTGTGCCCTGAGTGCTAGGTCGTCACAGGTTGGGTGAACTTGTGTCTCTCCAGCCCTGGGGAGTTGAGCTTTGTAGGAGAATTCCTGGAAGTGGGGGGAAGGAAAGACCCTTTCTGGGCCCAGCCCTTTTGGACTAGTCAGGAGGATGCTCCCGACGCTGGTGTCTCCCAGGTCCCCAGTGAGGCCTCTGCTTCTCTTGTGGACTGGGCAGTGGAAGTGCATGGGGAGGAGCTTTGAGTGGTGGGTGTGAGGAGGGAGCTCCTCTGGAGGGGATGGGATTATAAGACACCTGAGGGGCAAGGTGAGGAGGCCAGGAAGCCCCAGAAGGGGACCTGGGTGGAAGTGAAGAAGCCCGGAAGGCTTGGGAAGGTGTCTATGGAGAACTCTTCCCATCTTCACGGTTCTGGTTCCTTTGCAGACGGAGACCCTTCTGCTGCAGGCTGAGCGCCGGGCTCTGTGTGCCTGCTGGCCAGCTGGACGCTGAAGACCCTTGGCCAGTGATGTTCCCTGTCAATAAATGCCTGCTAGCATGCTGTGTCCTGTGTCCCTGTTCTGGCCATCAGAGTCACCCATGTTGGTGCCCTGTAGTAACCCTCTCTGGGTCTTGGTTTCTCTGTCACAGGTTGTAAGGTCCTGTTTGGCACCGCCCCACAGCAGTGCCCATGATGAGGTACACCTGGCCCTACAGGCACTGACACTAACTCAGACCTGCCCCAGCCAGCCTGCCCTAGTTTGGAGTCCAGGGGATCTTGAAAATGGCCTCCCCTCTGAGTTTCCCACGGCCTCTCTGTACCGGGTTAAGCATGGCTCTGTGGAAACTGAGCTCTGGGACCCTAACCTGGGTCTTCTGGAGAAGGGAGCAGCAGTGGGCGACAGGCAGTGGGTAACATTCCTTCCAGGAGGGACAGCTGGATGGTTCCATCTGCAGACCCAAGCTTGGCCCCGGTACCAAGGACATCCGTGTGGGAGTTAGTGGCCCCGATTACATCTGCATATGTGGGCTAAATGCCTAGCAGGCCAACCTCCAGCAAAGTGAGAACAGCTTTCTTCTTTACTGGAAACTTTGTGCAAGTGAAATTAAAGCTTTTTTTTCCTTATCAAGAGCATGCACTCATACTGGAGCACAGCAGGGCTGAGCTTGAGTGCCTCACCCAAGGCACAGCACTGGCCTATCTGGGGCACTGGTTCCTTCATTAGCACCACGCCCCACAAAGAGTTGTTGGAGGGGTGCTGAGACGACAGTCCAGGTGTGCTGCACCAGCCAGATTCTGTTTGGGTTTCTCCCTGAGCAAAGGAGGTAGAGGTATACCCCTGTCCCATTGATTGGTCTCACTCCTGGCCATTCCTAAGTTGCAGGCGAGACCAGAAGTGTGTTACACAAGTTTTGTTCTAGGTGTAGATTATTAGATTTAGCATGTGAATACAGAACCACTTCAGTACCCTTTATACAATGTTCATGGGCTGTACTTACACTAGAAGTATTGTTTACTCCAAATTCAAGATTAACTGTCCTGTGTTTTATGCTTCTTATTAGCCCTTGATACAAATAGCCAAGAAAGTATGGTGTAGGGTCCTCTTTGGGACATTCCTATGGAAAAAAAGTAGGGGTATCAGTCAGGAAGGTAGGATAGAGGGGTCTGGAGGTGGAGAGGCATGTTTCAGCCAAGCCAGTCCGGGGGCTGCAGAAGTTGGGGAAGGAAGCCTGTCTGGTTAGGCTCCTTGGAGCTTTGTGGTCTTTAAAGTGTGTGTGTGCGCGTGTGTGTGTGTATGCACATGCGTGTGCACAGAAGACAGCTGGGGAGATAGCTGTCCTCTTCCACTCTGGGTTCCAGAGATTGAATTCATTCAGCAGGCTTGCTTGGCAGGCACTTGCACTCACTGAGGTCTCTTTCTGGCCTTAGCAGGTTCTGAGCCAGTAGAATCTAGATCTGCGTGAGCAGGGTGCTTGTGGTTGCACCCACCATGGATGGAGAAAAACTGGGTGGTAGTTGCATGAGAAGGATTCTAGGCGTATTTGAAAACAGAAGTGGAGCACACTGACACATACCTTTAGACCAGGCACTCGGGTGGGAGAGGAAGGCCAGCTTTTGTCTTAATAAAAACTCAGAGTCAGCTATCAGGATGAAAGCTGAACGATCAGAGAAGCAGAGTGGCCAGCCACTATAGAGTTCTTATCTCTACCAATGCTCAGACCAAAGGGATGAGCCTGTCCTCGAACTCACTGCTCCTCAGGTCAGCTCTTGTCTCCTCCTGCCTTATATTCCTCTCTCTGCCCAGCCATATCCCTTCCTGTCTCCATCTCCTTACTGCTGGGATTAGAGGCGTGTCACTCCAGATGCTGGGATCACCTTTGTGTGGTCTGTTTCTCTTTCAAACTGCATCAATTTCATGTAGCCCAGAGTGGCCTTGAACTCAGATCCATCTGCCTCTGTCTCCTAAGTGCTGGGATTAAAAGTGTGTACCACCACTGCCTGTCCTCTATGGTTAACTAGTGTGGCTGCTGGGATTAAAGATATATGCCACCACTGCCTCCCTCTATGGCTAACTAGTATGGCTAGATTAGCTTTGCACTCTGATCTTTAGGCAAGAATTATTTGTTAGATCACAAACAAAATATCACCACACCAGCTTAGTCTACACAGTGAGTTACAGGACAGCCAGGGCTATGTAGAGAGACCCTGTCTCAAAAAAAAGCCCTCCCCAAAGAAAAGACAAGTGAAAAGAAAAAACAGAGCCAGGAGGATTTGGTGTTAGGGCAGAGCATTGCATCTGTAAGGTATGCCTGGACAAGCACCAGAGAAAGAAGGACGGAGCAGTCACACTGTTGAGTTCTCTGCGCCTGAGTGTGGACAGGAGAGCGGAGCTGAGATGACAGTAAGAGAGGCACCTCAGAGTAGAAGCAGCAGCCACGAAGCAGACTGAAGCATGTTCCGGGTGGTGTGCTGAGGTTAAGCAAACACCAAGACTACCAACAGGTTTGGCACTTTTGGCTACTGGTGGTCTTGACCAAAGATAGTCTAAGTGGGTCTGCTTGACGTGGGTTTCTTGGAAGGAGCAGAGATGGAGGATGCGCAGCAGACACCTGGCAAGTCTAGACTTGCCAATGGCCTTTGCATCGTCCCGGAGCCCTGGAGCAGCCTTCCTGGTTGTCGTTGGCTCAATGACATATGGCGAAGCACATGACATGCATTTTCTTTAAGATACCTTCCATTTTCCTGGATTGAGTGTTGGACTAACTGTTGCCTGCTCATTATCCAGCCCGAGTCCAACCCTCATGTTTGCCTGGACTTCTGTTCCTGTTCCCAGACAGCTGTGCATTCCTACACGGGTTGCCCTCTAGGGAGCAGAGGGAGTCCTCGCTGAATGAAGCGCTGAGTGGATGTATGGAGTGTGTGTATGAATGTTTATGATTCATGGGCTTGTTTTCCTGCTTTTTGGATTCTTCTGCTCTCTTAAAGGCTCCTGTCTTCCCCCCAGTCCTCAGCGGCTTATACCTTTCAGGGGCCAGCCCAGGGTCATTTCCCAGGACTACGTTGGCTGTGTGTCTATCCAGCGCCTTCTTTTTTTCTCTACATTTTTACCGCCTGGCTCATTCTCCCCCCATAGACCCTGGAGTAGCCACGCTGGACAAGGATAAGTCCTCTGATCCCAACATCATTAGAGGACACACCTTGGGTGGAGGGTCCACTGCCCTATTAAGGAAACATCCCAGCCTGAAGAGTAGGGATTCAGGATATGCCCGCCCCGACTCTGTCTCTGAAATTTGGGCAGAGGTCTTCACCTCTGTCGAACTATATATAGGAAGGCGCTTCTAGGCTCCTGGAAAGAGAATTCAGCAACGGAGGTCTTAAGGAAGCCAATTTGGGTCTCCAGAGTCTTCCTGGGGACCCAAGCAGAGGAGTAGGCTTGAGTGGCGTTTAGGAGAGGTAGTGGTTCCCTGCTGGGTCTTTATCAGGAAGGACTTTGATGCTACTCGGGAATGACCTAAGAGATACCGGCAGAGGGCGCCCCACGACAGGGAGGAGGAACCAGGCTAACCAAGGCTACTGAACGCCCTGTTGTCTTCGCAACCCAAAGTCTTTGGGTCTCCAGGCCCTTCTAAGTGGCTGTGCCCCTCTACACTTCCAAACGATTCTGATGTGTTTCACAGCACAGTCCTCCACCATGGCTACCGGGGGGCATATGGTGCCAGGAGGGTGAGGCACTGAAGGGTGTGGTCAGGGCCAAGAGGGGAAGGGACCTCTGCAGAACAGGGAGGGCCCATCAAGGTCGCGCTGATAATAGTATTGGCCCCTGAGCCTGGCGGTGCAGAACCACGTCCCTATAGAGCTTAGACTACTTTTTTACCTCTAAGGCTTCAGGGTCCTCAGTGACCCTCAAGCCTTGGGTCCTGAGTCAGACGTACTTGGTTTCACCTGATGTCTCCTCAATGCCCAGCCTCTCCTTCTACCAGCCCCCCACCTGAATGTCTTCACAGCCTGATATACAGTTCCTGAACACCACTTGGTGGTCAACCTTAGGACCCATAAGAGGCCAATGTGGCGGGTCAAGGGTCTCAGCTTGTTCAGGTACTATCAGTGAGTTCCCTTGACATTTTTAGAGATTTAAGCTTCAGTGTTTTGGAAGATCACAACCGGGACCCACATATGCCCGTGTTTTGAAAACCCATTGAGGGAAATCCTCCTTGGCCTGGTCTTCTCTTCCCCAGCATTCGTGCGCTGAGGACCCTGGGTGGTGGATTCTCCACACCCTACTCCCAGGTTCCTATTGCAGGCCAGGTGCCTCCAGCCTCTAGGTGACCATAGCTACTCTGCTGTGGCATCACGCAGAGAGCGAGTCCTCAGGCCTGGAGAAGTCAGGGTGTCCGCGAGCATGTGGGCGAACTCAGTTTGGGGGGGCCTATCCCTGTGACGGAGGAAAGAGAATGTGCCACGACGTGTTCCCTAACCTGGTTACCGGCCTGCACCCCATGCGTGCCCAGTCTGCTGCGTCTGCACCTCTTGCTCCTAGGGACCGTAAGATGCGGTTCAGATGCGAGCCCCCGCTGCACCTGCACCAAGGCCACGGGGCGCATGCGCGGGCCGCGGAAGCCGGGGAAGGGGGCGAGCCGGGAGGGGTCCTGCAATCTCGCATGCTTGCTGCCGGGAGCGTCGGGTGTCATATTGGAGTGGGGTGGGGTGCGGCCCTGCGTCAAGAGGCGCGGGCATCATACCCCACTTCAGTCGTGTCCTCACTCCCTCAGTCTTTTCGGCCCCGGCCGCAGGCTGGCAGGGCTCCAGCCAGGGGAGCATGCTGCCCCTCCCGAGGACTTCGGCCAGGCGCCGCGTTCAGACAAAGGGGTGGGAGACGGAGACACTTCCGTGACTGCTGCCAGCGGCCGCGGAGGAGGAGGAGGACGCGTTGCTGCAGGCACGGAGGCCCGAGCGCAGCGGCAGCTTTGCGGGTGCTCAGGGGCGGGGTGGGAGGCGTCCATCACTCGCTGTCCTCTGGGCCAGCCTCAAGCCCCCCACGCAGCGCCTCTCCGAGCGCCCTGTCCCGGCTGCCGCTCGCCCGCGCGCTCACTGAGGACCACTGGCCTGGCCGCTTCCACGCAGTCTCGTCGCCCGGCCCCGCCGTGCTCCCGCGATCTGCCGGCCGCGCAGCCCAAGCGTGCCATCGGGCGGGCGCGGAGGCGGCGTCAGCTCCCACCCCCGAGATCACATGGTGACCCTCGGCAGCCAATGCAGTGGACGCTAGGACCCTGCGGGACCCCGGGCGCCTCGACTGCACCGGCGCTGCTGCATTATAAATACTTCTCCAAAATGCGGCGCAGCTCCCTGCGCGCGCCCCGGCCGCCCGCCGCCTCCTCCCAGCGCCCCTGAGCTGCTGCCGCTGCCGCTGCCGCTGCCGCTGCCGTCGCCGCCGCCGCCGCCGCCGCCGCGGGTCCGAGGGCGCCGCGCCCTTGCCCTGGGCCCGGGCTCTGCCCACTGCCGCCGGCCCGCGTCCCCGCGCTGCGCCGCCCGGCCGGGTGCATGCATTGTGGGCCTCCCGACATGGTCTGCGAGACGAAGATCGTGGCTGCGGAGGATCATGAGGCACTGCCGGGGGCCAAGAAGGACGCGCTGCTCGCCGCCGCCGGAGCCATGTGGCCCCCGCTGCCCGCAGCGCCCGGGCCGGCCGCCGCGCCCCCACCCGCACCAGGTCCCCAGCCCCACGGAGGCACGGGGGGCGCGGGGCCGCCGGAGGGGCGCGGCGTGTGCATCCGCGAGTTCCGCGCAGCCGAACAGGAGGCGGCGCGCCGCATCTTCTACGACGGCATCTTGGAGCGCATCCCCAACACGGCTTTTCGCGGCCTGCGGCAGCACCCGCGCATCCAGCTGCTCTACGCCCTGCTGGCGGGTCAGTGCGCCGCGGGGGCCGGGGGGCCAGCGGGTCTGCCGCAGTCCCGGGCCCGGCCCGACACTAGCGGGTCCAGCGGACCCCCTTCGGGGACCGTCTGCCTTTTTCCTGAGCCCCCATCTGGGAGCCCGGGTGCCGCGTCGGTGCGCGGGACCGGCGGGGAAGAGACCCTCTAGAACCCGCGGCGCAGCGCTGCGGGCTTACGGCCAAGGGGCCGGGGCCGGGCGTGGGAACCGGCGCGGGCCGAGTGCAGGCGCTGCGGACCGGGAAGCACTTGGTCATCAACTCAGTCCGCGGTGCCCGTTCTCCCTGTCGCGGGGCATCCCGGGTGGGGGCGGCGTGACAGGGCAGGTAGCGCTGCAGCTGCGGCCCGGCGCGACAACTATATATAATCTGCGGGCGGGGGAGGCCGCCTGAGGCTCAAGTGCTAATTTATGACGGGAAGGCAGCCAGCTCCGCGGGGAGCCAGCGAGGCTGTTCGCCAGAGCCAGGGCCACAGGGAGGATATCCTGTGCGGTCTTGAAACACATCCCTCCCCCCCATTTATGTCATCCCATTCTGCAGATGAGGAGCTTGAGGCGACTCTCCCAAGGTCATTCAAGGGAGGCAACTTTTGCTCTAGTTCCTCTTCCTCCTCCACAGCATAAAATGAGTTTGGAAGCACTGTGGTGCTCGTCACCTGACCCTGTGGGCCTAGAAGCTGCCCAGGGATGTCTCTGACTGGGCCCCTTCACACCGGAGTGGGGTGACCTGTTTGGTTAGGCAGTGCCCTGGTGTGTCTGTCCAGCTCTTTGACTTAGCACCGTGCTAGGAGGAGTAGGCAAGAGCCCTTTTGGAAACTGGGGCACCAAGGGCTGACCAGCGCGGACCTGGCCTAGGCTGTATTGTGGACCTTTGCTTCAGGTTGTGAAGGTAGCAGGTGTTTACGCCAGAGAGCTTGGAAATGAGGAAGCATAGAAAGGGACTGCGGCCATGACTGCACCTACACAGAGAAAGTCCCTGGTGGGGCGCATCCTTAAGCACTGATTTACCAAGGTGGTTTGGCCTCCGGGTGCTGTGGGGCCCACCCGTGTCCAGCCTGGCTCGGTGCCTCTCTGCACCCGCCACCTCACCTGTGCCCCCTTGCCTGCAGCCCTCTGTTTTGCTGTGACCCGCTCACTGCTGCTGACATGCCTGGTGCCCGCTGGGCTCCTGGCCCTGCGCTACTACTACAGTCGAAAGGTGATTCTGGCCTACCTGGAGTGTGCGCTGCACACGGACATGGCTGACATTGAGCAGTACTACATGAAGCCACCTGGTGAGTTCTGGAATTCCAGCTCTGCCCACCCTGTCCCTCTTCTCCAGGTACAGGAGTGACTGCTGGGGAGGCCAGAGCAAAGTCCTTTCCTTGGTGCTCTGACTCCACTGTGCCCGTTGTTGAACACCTTTTCCTGGTACCTGCCTTGTGTATGTGTGTTGGGGAGTTTTAAGTCCTGGCTGGATCCTGAGCCAGCCCAGCAGAGTGCCTTGGGTGGAGGAAGCCTGTGCAGCATACGGGAGGTCCCAGGGAGCAGAGTGTGATGATATTTTACATTATTTAGGCCTATTAAGAACTCTGTTTACAATAAGGTATTGCTTGATCCCAGGGCTTTCTGTAGGAAGAGTGACTGGGAGACTGGCCTCTCCCCCAGACAAGCCCTGAAGCAGGGTGGATCTTGGGACCAGAGGGAAGACATTCGGGATGTCGGGGGCTGAGGATAGGGAACTGACCAGCAGGAGTTGGGTCTATTTCAGGGAAGGGCAGCCCCTCTGGCTCTGCCAGCTATAGTTTTCGCCAGCTCCTTTCCAGCTGTCCCATCTTGTGCCCCAACCTCCTACCCAGCTGGCCTGGGTGCCTGCTGGTCTCCGTAGCCCTCCCTTACATTCAAGTGTAGCTTCCTGGCCTCTGCAGGACCCTCCACCTAACTGGCATTGCTTGGGAAGAGAAGGGGGAAATGGCTGCAGTGGGTTGGGTAGATGGCATGGGTGTGGCCAGAGGTCCTGTTGTGTGCCCTGTCTGAGCTCTAGTCCCCCAGGGGTTAGTGTGTGGCAATCTTTGCTAACCCTTCAATGTCTGCTGGGTTTATAGGACCCCACAAGAGCAAACGCTGGGCAGCAGCTCATGGGAATGTGAGGATTTATGAGAGTTCCCATGCAAACGTGGAGACAAGACCTGGGGAGAGTGACAACACTCGCTGGAGGTTGTTCTGACCTCCTCTGGCTTGCGTGGGTGGGTGTGGGGTAGTTGGTAAGAGGGCTCCCCTTAGGGTGGGATGCGGGCCCTCCCGAGCTTCTGCTTTCTGTGCTACACTGGTGGAGGGTGGGGTGGCACCTCCTTCAGCTACAGAGTGAGGTCTGTACTGAAGGAGCTGGGCTCCCCAGAGCCCCCCAGGAGGTGAGAAGTAAAGGTCGGGGTGTGTCCTGCTGCCTGGTGAGGGCAAGTAAAGGTGTAGAGCCTTTGGGGCAAGGTTGGTCCTTTGAGGGAAGGCCAGATCCCACGGCACAGGCACTCTTGGCCAGCCAGATGCTCTCCCTTACTGACCCTCAGCCTTTGTCTTTCAGAAAGGTCTCTGGGCATCCCCTTGACTATGGACCTCTGGTTCCCAAAGGTGACTGGGTTCCCAATGGCCTGTGCCCTTCAGCACCCTTCCCATCCCAACTCCTTATCCCCTCCTTTCCCCTTGTAGGAGTGAAGCTGGGATTGGCTTTGCTATAGGTGGAGATGGCTGGCCTGGTCATCAGGCTCGTTGTTCAGTAGAGGCTGGGTCTTTGGGGCTTGGGGGTATCTGGCTGTCTGTGGTCTCTCTCACTGGTATTTATACAACATTCTTCTGACCCGGTGTTGGTGGTGCATACCTTTAATCCCAGCACTTGGGAGGCAGAGGCAGGTGGATCTCTGTGAGTTCGAGGCCAGCCTGATCTACAGAGCGAGTTCCATGACAGCCTCCAAAACAATACAGAGAAAACCTGTCTCAAAAACAAAACAAAACTAAACAACAACAAAAAAAACCAAACAAACAAACAAAATTCTCTGGCTTCTGTCCCTGCAAGGATCCTGGAGGAGGAGGATGGCAGGCCCAGGTTGGGATTCTGAGTAGGTCAGTTGGTCCTGAGGCCTTGGCTGTGGTTGCCTGTTTTTCAGGTGGTCTTGGGTTAGAAATCTGCTTCTTCAAGGCCTTCCTAGCTCCTAGGCACCTCCCAACTACTATTCTGGCCAGGACAGTATAGACTCAGGCTGGAGTTGATTGTGTTTGCCTGTGTTATGGGATCCAGTCATGCAAAGTTGGGCAGGTTAGCCTGGACTAAGGCTGTTGGAATGTTTTTGCTGCTCATGGAGGTCTGTAGAAGGCAGCTTACCTGCTTAATCCTTAATTATGGCCTCCCATGGTGTCCAAAACAGCTGAAAGGGGGGCCAGAGTACTGGAGGATTGGGCATCATTGTGATACCTTGACTTGTTGCCCAGCTGGAATGGGTAGCTATGAAGTCTCTCTAGCCTTCCATGCAAAATGTCCCTGACTGTCATGTCCTTCATAGGTTCCTGTTTCTGGGTGGCTGTGCTGGATGGCAACGTTGTGGGCATCGTGGCCGCACGGGCCCATGAGGAGGACAACACTGTGGAGCTGCTCCGCATGTCCGTGGACTCACGTTTCCGCGGCAAAGGCATCGCCAAGGCTCTGGGTCGGAGGGTGCTGGAGTTTGCCATGTTGCACAACTACTCTGCAGTGGTACTGGGCACCACAGCTGTTAAGGTGGCAGCCCACAAGCTCTATGAGTCACTGGGCTTCAGACACATGGGCGCAAGCGATCACTACGTGCTGCCTGGCATGACCCTCTCGCTGGCCGAGCGCCTCTTCTTCCAGGTCCGCTACCACCGCTACCGCCTGCAGCTACGCGAGGAGTGACCACCACCACCTGCCCACCACCCTGTCTGCCCCCGTTCACCTCTGCCCTCCTGCTCGCTGCCCAGTGCGGCCCTGCTTTCCAATGCTCACCTTGGCGTTAGTTTGGGTTTTCCTTTTTCAGCATCATGCTGGTTCATCACCTGGCTGGTTTTGGGGGCCACAGGGTGTTGCTCATCTGCAACACTGTGGTGGGTTGAATTGTCTGCAGCCACAGCCCTTGCCTCCCCAGCCCATCAGAGTGGCTCGTCATGCCTTGAAGAGTAGCATTGTGGACCACCTGGACTATCCACAAAGCTGCCCGGCCTGCCTCCATCAGGGAAGGACTAGCCTTGCCCACCAAGCACAGAACCTCTACAACCAGCCCCCCAAGGAGCAGACCCCTGGCCCCCAGCCAGGCTAAGGCTCAGCCATTGGCCTCTGGAAGAGTGGCCTGCTGGGTTGGCCAGCCACTGCCCTGTGGGAGGCCAAGCTGGCCCCAGGCCCTGCTTTGCCCTGTGCATGCTGAGGACACGGCCTGGCTGCAGCATGCTGCATGCCACAGCCCCTTGCCCCGCTGCCCTACCCAGCCTGGACCTCAGGCCCGAGCCGGTGAGCACCCCTGTCCTGTCCTGAGCTGGCCTCTGGAGGGCCGACCTGCCTGACCCTGTCTGCTCTCTGGTGGGGCCTGACCTGGCCTAACCTGGCTCTCTCCACTCCTGCTTTGCTTCGAAATCATCTTACCTCTTTCCCTTTTTGATCCCTGTGCCTCCTTGCTCTGGCTGACTTGGCTGGTCACCCGGGTTTGGTTCCTGTAGCAATCCACTGCACAGCATGGTGGGGATTTCATGGGGGTAGGGGGACACCTCCCCCAACACCTGTTAGATCAGGTGGCCCCCTCCCAGCTGCCTGAGGCCCTGTGGCCTCATGCTGTTTGTGGGGTCTGCCCTGTGAATGTAACTAGCTCAGGCTGTTGTTGGCAATGCCTGCCACAGCTTCTCGCAGCCTGAAACAACCCATTGTCTAATAAGTTACATAGACAGAATAGCACTCTGCATGACTTAAATTCCTGGGACAAAATGGTAGTTTGAGCCTCCAGACACACATCTGTGTGGTGCTAGCATATGCATGGTCTCTGGCCCCATTTGATGGGGGTGGGTGGCTAGGTAGGTAGTAGAAGGTTTCAATGTGAAGTATGGAAGGAGACTAGTGTGACCTCCCCCAAAGTGCATTCCTGGTCTCTGAGGCCTCAGGCTGCCCCTCGAATCCCTGTGTGTAGGACTGAGGGGACCAATAGGAAGGGCTGGGCTTGCCTTGGGGGTGGAGCTCTGGTTGGGGTGGGTCTAGCCATCTGACTGTAGACTACTTTGCTGGGCCAACTGTGCTCTTGTCCTCTCCTCTTTGAGGTTCCACTTAGGGTCCAGCCTGATGGAAGTGGGTGGCTGGGACAGGGAAAGGAAGGCAGTGGCTGTCAGCGCTGATGTTTCAGTGTGAGGCGTGGGGGTGGGGCATAAGAGCCCATGCACACCCTCTGTGTGGAGCTTGGGGATAAAGGGTGGCAACCGGGTAGGCCATAGAGCCGGGCCCCTGGCACCAAGGCTACATGTTTTAGAAAAGTTCTTCAGAGTGAATGAATTGGTGAGACAAGCCAGCTCCCTGAGGGGCCTTTTGTCCTGTTAGCAATTGAGGCATTTGCAGAACACTGTACAGACCCCACTCTCCCCTGTACATTCCTCCCTGGTGGTGCCCAGTCCCCTCGGGGATGGGAGTTTTGTAGACTGTACAGAAATTGGCACCCTATTTTCTTGCAGCTCTCAGATTTTGTTAATCTGGATTATACAGACAGACGTAAAGTGTTTTAGCAAAATGGAAAACAAACAGTTGTGCCTTTTTCCTCTTTTCTGTTTGGATTGGTCTCGGCTCGGGGCTAGTCTTAGCTGTTGTGGGGGTGTAGGGACTACTGGTGTCTGGGGGGGGGGGTGGGTCAGAGGCTGCTGGTGTGTCTGAGGCCCGGGTGGACCTAAGTGGGAGCCAGGTCTGCCAAATACCACCAGCTGCCAAAACTCTGATCCCGTGCCTTTGGGGCCTGTAGTCTTTGGGATTGGAAAGACACCGGGATGGGTCAGGGCAGAGCCTGGGGATCCTGCAGCCACCCATGTCTCCTTGATACTGACCTGGGATGAACTCATAGTAGCTTCTTCCATCCTAGGAGCCTGGGGGGGAAGGTGTGGCTCTTCTGCCCAAGAGGATCTCTTCCTGCTGAACAGCCCATGGGTAAAGGAAAGCTTGCTGGGCTCTTGATTATTCCTTGTCTGCCTTCAGTTACTGCCAAGACTTGGTAGAGATGCTGGGAAGGGGTGATGGGGTAGGTTCCAACTGTACCAGGATGGAACTTCACCAGGAAGTATGTAGCTTGGCAGGGCCTAAGGCCCTGGAGGCAAATCTGTCTCCCTGGGCTGGAGGGAGCTGAGCATGCTCATGACTGGGCCTGGGCCTGTCCACTTCATCCCAGCCGGGGCTTAAGTGCTCTGTCCATGTGCACTGATGTGACTTTGTTTGTCGGGATTCTGATGTTTCTTCTACCTCGATGGAGGCCCTCCTCCCTGCTCCACCTGGTGGCATGTGCTTGGCACAGCTCCTCTGAGTTTGCTGGCCATCTCCTCCTCCCTTGGGCCTCCAAGGTGGCCAGCACCTGTACTCTAGGCCTGGAAAGGTCCAGGGAAGGCCAGCCTGGGGTCTGGCCCTGTGCTCAGGATCTGTGGCTTCCAGGAGTCCTATTGTTTGCTTGGAAGCCTCTGTTTTAGAGTAGAGAGGGTAGAAGAGGTGGTGGAGTGCTCCCACAGCACAGACCTGGTGCACCACTGCCTAGGCACATGTCTTTGTAGTGCCTAGTCTCTGCTGTCGCCAGGAGGCTGGCCTGCGTGTGCTAAGCTCTGGTCCCTGAAGGTGGGGTGGCACACTCCTGAGTGTCGTGAGGCCAAGCCCTGGCAACCTCTCTTCTGTTCTGCTCTCACCCATGTGCTCACCCTTTACCCTAGCACTGCCCTGGGGCTGGGCAGCAGCTGACGGATGTGTTAACAGGGCTGAGGAGGTAGATGGCTGGGTCTGGGAGAAGACGTGGCGGGGAGGCCCTGTGGATAACAGGCTGGTGGTCTCAGGGGCTTGGACAGTTCCCATCCTGCACTGGTACCCTTCATCAGAGAAGTAGTCAGGGACACACCTGAAGGGAACTTGGGCTTTGGCCTGATGTCTGGGACTCTTTAAGCCACAGTATCCTCACTAGCTGCTGGAAAGTATCCTTCCCATTCCCACTTGCCTCTGCCAGCCCCAGATGGCAGCCCAGTCACCGCTTCCTGGAGCTGGCTTCCAGGACTGCCTGTGGCTAGAGACCCTGGGACAGAGGTTTCTGGGTCTTGCTGGTGCCTGGGGCTTCTTGGGGCTGGGCATGACTTCCTAGCTGGGTAGGAGCTGTGCAGGACCCATGAGGCTACCTTCCTGTCAGGGACCAAGGTGCAGCCTGAGAGCTGACCTGAGGTGGCTGTCTCCCTGTCTGTGGTGGCACTGTTGCCCGCACCTGCTGCTCCCCGTTCTCTCAGTTGGTTCTGGCCTCAGCAATGGTCCTGTCCTTGGCTCTTGGCTACACTGCTGGGTATGGGCAGACCGTGGGCTGTGTTGCTCTTTGGTGCTGCCATCACCGTGCTTCCAGCAGGGGTGGGGTCCATGGAAGGTGGGTAGAGCTTGCCTGGGTCTGGGTAGAAGATGAGCCTTGACTTACCACTGTTGGATGTATTTTTAAAAAAAAAACAGCAATAATTAGCCATTTTAAAGAAGGGGTATACCTGCATAAATGTGCATACCTATTTGTGTATGTGCATCTGTGCACACATGTGTGAGCATGTGCATCGGAGAGTACATGTATACATGCGTGAACATCGTATGAATATGTGCATGTGCTCATTTGACTACATGTGCCCAAGAAATCACATTCATGTGTTTCACGTGTGTCAGCATGTGCGAGTATTTGTGTGTGCATCTCCATATGTGTATGGGTGTGTGCATGTGTGTGCATCTCCATATGTGTATGGGTGTGTGCATCTCCATATGTGCATGGGTGTGTGCATGTGTGTTGTGTGTGGGAGGGAATCAGCGGGAACTCTGATCTGGGAGGCACTTTGTGGTAAGAAGCAGGGTCTGTGTTTGTCTCTCACTGTGCCCATTCCCTCCCTCCCCTGCCCAGCTCCATGTGAATGTAGCATAACCCCACCAGGACAACTGAGCCTCTGCCGGCCCTCACTTCTGCCCATCCCCCCTCAGCTGAGGGTAGGGTAGAGGAGCTGGAGGCCCTTTGGACAGGACACAGAATGGGTTTGGTCAGGGTGCAGGTGTGACACAGTGGTAGATCTCACTGTTGTGGTTTGTTCCTGATTTTGTACTGTGAGCCCATGATGGGGGTGGGGTGTCCTGAGACCCCAGGATGTGCCAAAATAGCCCCTAGGGCCAGGTGACGAGCCGAGTTCCCAAGAAGACAGGCTGGGGGCCCAAGTGGGTGTGTGCCCCTGCCTGCACAGCCCCCAATGCTGCTGTTTTTCAATAAAATCAGAATTGAAGGAATCCGGCTCTGTGCTTTTTTGAGGCACCTCCTGGGGTGGATATCCTGGGTTTCCCACTGACTGGCCTATTTCTGCTTGTTTGGTTGAGCTGAACCCTACAGCAGGAGTGGAATCAGTGAGGCAGGGGTAGTGCCTTGGTGTCCCTGACAGGGAGAGGCCCCTTTCCCCAACTGGTATGAAGTCCAACTGCTCATGATACTGTCTCCCCCATCAGGGAAGAGGTACCTGGCTTCCTCTTTGACCATGGACGGTTGCAGCCCATCACACTTTCCTAAGTGTGGTAGATACAGAGGCAGCAGCCAGTCTACTGGAAAACTTAGCTGTGGGGTGGAGGGGTAAGGGGTGGAGATCGACTCAGACCCAGCAGAGGGCTGGTTCCTGGTCTTCGGGTGCCAGGCACAGCTAAGACACCTTTAGTGTGGTCTCCTGGCTGCCAAGTCCCACTGTTCTGGCCTGTTTCTGATATCTGGGTATTTACAAGGCCAAGACCCCTGGGCTTATGAGGGCTGGGTCCATGAAGAGCTTCACTCTTCTGAGGGGCTCTTCTGGACCCTAATGATGCTGGAAGCCTCCTGCTTCTCATCTACCTGTCTCCCCACAAGTATCTTGGGGATGATTTGAGATTTCGATCTAAGAAGGTATCAGTGTTGGCCAGGTTGAGGGGTGTAGACATCATGGTGAAAGAAGACACATTTCCTGTCAGACCCAGGTACAGGATACCAGTCAGCCTTGTCAGTAGGGAGGCTGGGGGCTGGGAAAGGGTTTCCAAAACTCAGACATCGAGTCCATCCCCTGGACAGCATTCCTCCCATATTTCCTGCCCAGAGGCCAGGAGGAATGTGACCATGGCATGGTCAGGGACTACCTTTCTCGGCCAGCAGGAGGGAGGTGGTGATCTCTTCCTGGACTTGGGTGACATGATCTTTGAGACATCTTAAATGAAACACGGCCAGTGGGCTGCCTGCATGGAGCTGGGTCTTTTTACCTTAAATTTTGTGGTGCCCTTGCTCCCTTACTGGGCATGCGCCATCCTGGCTCATGTTTGGTACAGGTAAGAATGGGGCCTGATTGGACACTCATCAAGGGCCAAGTTGGGCTGAGACACTTCCCAGGCAGCCTCTTGCTGAGCAGAGTGTACATGTGTGTGCACCCATAGGAAGAATCCCTTCAGACGAGGAGAAGACAGCTTCTTATTACACATTTACTTCATCAGTCTAGCCCTCAGAGTGCAAGCTGATGACCTAGGGAAAGGCTGTAGGATGGATTGGTGGAAACCAACTCACTCCTCCCACTGTTGCCCAGGGCTACAGACAAACTTAAGATGAAAAGGTGTACTTGGTTGGGGTGGGTACTGAAGAGGGACCTCCCTGGTATATGGCTGTTGCAAGGAGATTTGTTGTGGTTCAGGATGAGTCCAGAGTCTCCTACAGTGGGGCCAGCTGTCCCCATGAGCGGCCGACACTCAAATTCACCTTTAGGGGCACCTGTGGGGTGAAAACCAGAAATGACCTTCAAAGAGAAACTCAGCCACCTCCCAGGCCTCATGCAGGTTGAAGAGCTAGCAATGCACAGGGAGACAGGCACACAAGAGCAGCCACATACACGTGTGTACTCACACTTGCTTTGTTGCGTGCTCACATCACACACACCTACCATGGTGGAGCTACCTACCTACCAGGCCTCAGGCAGTGTGTAGGTCTGCAGGGCTCCCAGGCAAGGTGCCTTATGATAGGAATGTCTTAGTACAACTGTGCTCACCCTGTCAGGGCTTATCTTGGAGAGGTGCTAGGGAGCAGAAGACTCCTATTTGAGTGCGCTTTTCCCCAAGGCACTAGACAAAGCCACTGTGTCTGAAGAGAGGGGCTGGCCGCCAGCTGTTTCCCATAGTTTTCTGCCTCATGAGGGCCCCCTAATGGCAGCTAAGTTTAGTTTTCTGGACTTCAAGTCCTCCCCTGCCCCCAGCACCTACTTCTTTGCCCAACACAGGCATAGGTTTTGTAGACTACCTCAAGGGGCAGGGGTTCTGCCACCAAGTGGGTAAAAACATGTGTTACTCCTTAATCCTGCAAAGCTGCCACCTGTCCAGAGGTGCACAGTGCCCTGGTGTGCAGCAGGGTGTCCAGCAGGTCAGAGCCTTTCCCAGGAAGGCCTCTGAGCCTGTGAGCAGAGTCAAGGCTGCTCAGGAAGGTGGGTGGTCAGTCGCTTCTGTGGCTCTGGTTGGTTCTGAGGTACCCACGAGGCCGGACACTTTCTTAAGTGACAAGATGTGTTTCTGGTACCACCTGGGTGGCTCTGTAGGCTTCAAGGCCTCCCATCTTACCACTCCCTGCCCAGTGTCCACACTGCTTTGGGGAGCCTGTGCTGAAACACCCAGGGGTCTTTTCCTGGCAGGAACTCAGAGCTGTTTCAAAGCAGTGTTCAGCCAGGTGCAGAGTGGGTCTGTGTTTAGACATGCCCTGTAGTGTACCTAGGATATGTGGGGCCTGGTGCCCACACCCTCAGCAAGGATGAGCCTCAGGGAAGGGGTTTAGCCAGAGGCTGGTAGGAACAGCAGCAGATAACAATGGTGGTGGCTTCTTGCCAGGAACAACAAGTCATCCAGTAGGGAAAGGGTTCCTCAGCAGGGAAGGGACAAGTGGAGGCTTGGAGGGTGGCGGTCTTGGTGCTTGCCTTACTCCTTGCCATCCTGACCTTTGGAGAGTGGGACCCTTTGCCCACCCTGGATTGACTCCAGTGGTGAGGGATATGGCAGTGATGCTGGGCAGATGTGTGCCTCCTTACCTGCAGCTGTAGGTCCAGGCTCTGCACCTGTTGCAAGGACTCCATGATCCTTCTGACTAGATCTAGAACAGGAAAACAGCTGCTTACAGCTGTGTAGGTCTGGGGCTGGCCAGCCTTCTGGCTTCCAGGTCCCAAGAGTTGAGGACTAAGGTGACCTTCAGGCTCAGTCCTGCCTGATCCAAGTTACCTTGTTATTTCTTGGGTCTACATGCCACTCAAACCAACTGGTCATGTAAACTCATAGCTGGTCCAACACCCAGTGTCTATATCCATGGTTCAGGGTGCAGCTTCAAGAACTCTCAGGCCACCCTTCTGGCCACTGTAGTGACTGTGCTGGCTGCATCCTTCCACCCCAGCTCTTCCCAGCAGAGGCAGGCCAGCTGAGGTGGGTAGGCACTGTGCTTGTATCACTAGCTCTGGCTATGGTGCTAGGGCTAGGAGGAGGCACCAGGTTATCATTCCCAGTCAAAATAGCCTGGGCATGGAAGAGCACAATCCCCGATGCTTCTGGCAAAGGTCTGATGTTCCTGTCATGCCTCTGAAGGTAGTTTGTGGCCCTGACAGTAAGATCTCTCCTGTCAGCTTGGGCCACCATCTCTCTACACTGCCCTGAGTGGAGACTCAGTCATGGAATCTGTGTACAGAAGCTTCATGGCTGTTCAGGAGCACTAGACATACCTCCCCCTACTAGGCTCACCAAACTAGCTGCCATCTAGCTTGAGGGACAGAGGGGAGAAGCTTCAAAGAGATGGCAAATTTCCTGATGGGTGACACTACCCCATGCTCCCTGGACGTACCTGCAAACTTGGGGACCTGAGAGTCTTCCACTTCAAACAGCAGCTCATCATGAATTTGGGCAACTAACCTGGAGAGGAAGGAAGTCACCTGTGGGTGTGGGTACTTCCACAGGGGACCTAGGGTTATGAAAGAATGTGGCTCTGAGCTGGGCGTTGGTGGCACACGCCTTTAATCCTAGCACTTGGGAGGCAGAGGCAGGTGGATCTCTGTGAGTTCGAGGCCAGCCTGGTCTACAAGAGCTAGTTCCAGGACAGTCTCCAAAGCTACACAGAGAAACCCTGTCTCGAAAAAAAACAAAAAAGAAAAAAAATGTGGCTCTGTGTGGAGTAGGTATGGCCATTCTGGCACGGAGGCCTGGGGTTGCTTACCATCAGAAGGACAGCTCCAGGGAGTGGGCAGAAGGGGCCAGGAGAGAGGGATAAATGATTTCAGGAGAGCTGTCCAGCCCGAGCAGGCTGAGCATTTCACACTCAGGGAAAACCGGCAGGGTAGAAGAAGAGCATGTGACCCTGGTTGAGGGATGTGATGAGGAGCACAGATGGGGCAGGAGAGCTGAGGTGTGGTTAGGAGTCACTCCTGCTGTGAGGAAGGAGGCTAAGTAGAGAATGGTGGGAGCATACCCTTCAGCTTAGAGCAAGTGATTGGGCAATAGCTTTTAAAATTTGCGGTTTTAAAGTCATATAAATAAGCCGGGCGTTGGTGGCACACGCCTTTAATCCCAGCACTCGGGAGGCAGAGGCAGGCCGATCTCTGTGAGTTCGAGGCCAGCCTGGTCTACAGAGCGACCTCCAGGACAGCATTCAAAACAATACAGAGAAACCCTGTCTCGAAACCAAAAAAAACCACAAAAAAACAAAAAAAACAAACCAAAAAAGTCATATAAATAGTCAACAGAACTTGGAAAATGTAAAAGTTAAAAGTACAAAACTACATCAAATACAGGATATTTTGGATGACCCATACAGGATTGAACATGTACTGTACTTTGGGGCACTAAACCACAGTTCCAGTTGAACTTGGCTCCATTTCTCTAGCAGTGTGGCCCCTTGAGCCCCTTCTGGCACCAGCAGGAAGAGGAATCTAGGAAGCAATGCTCTCTGGGGACATGTGCTGGGCAGGGGATGGAGTGTGTAGTACTGGCAAAAAGGATGGTGGCAAGGACCTGCAGCCCCTAGGGAAGGGTAGAGGGCACAGAGGGATCCCATGTGTGCCGTCCTCTGTGACCTTTGTTCTGTCTCCTGGGTGGGACTCTGAAGGGCAATAATCAAATGCCATATGTCCCCAACTGCTGTTTGCGCTGGTTTCCCCTGTGGCACTGGAGCTTCACAGGGAAGTTGTGGCACCACCTACACACCCCAGCAATGATAATGGATTGGATAGTGAACCCTGGCTGGAAGGAAAGAGCAACAACCTTCAAACGCA